CAAATTCAAAATGCAAAATTTTAATCAGAGATAGTAGTTAGTTTTGAATATATTCTAGCATCCACAGGGTTTAATAGAGCAGTGGTCCCCAACCCCCGGTCCGCGGACCGGTGCCGGGCCGTGGAGTACCTGGCACCGGGCCGCGCAGCGGCCGGGGGACATGAACGCTGCAGCGCAAAGGCTCCTGGGCCGTGCGCAATGGGCCGTGCGCAAAAGCTCCTGGGCCGTGCCCCCACCCCTGCGCGCGCTCAGCGGGCCGCGGCGATAAAAAGGTTGGGGACCACTGTAATAGAGCTCTGTCCCTTTGTTTTACAACAGCCATTACTTTTTTATCACTGGAAGAAAGAGGGGTTTTGGTCATCTTTAGGTGAGATGGGTGGCATACAAGTCAAATAAACATAAACAAACAAACAAACAAACAAACAAACTATGAAATCGTATTCACAATGACAAATGTTGTTATAATATAAATATTTAAAATATAGTTATATTAACTAAGCTTGTTGCAGAGGATATTTATCTAGAAAAATGATAAATAGGATGTGAGAAGTATGATTTTTCAAAATACTTCTATGATTCTCAAAACCTCCCAAACCTGAGAAGCAAAAATATGGAAGGGGGCTTTCAGGCTTTAGGACAAAAATAAATTCCTTCTGTGTTGTAGATGTTTCAGACAACATTTTAACCCTTAAATCCCTGAACCCCTTTTCTCAAGTAGGACTTGTCTTCACCTACTTTTTAGAGAGCTGGCCCCAATGTATCACACTAAATTGAAGTGGCCATCAAGCCTATGTAAGTGTTTAATCATGGGTGCAAATAAACTAAAGAGTACAAAAAAGAGAGAAACAAACATGGTTAATTCCAAGCAGTGTTTGCTGTGAGGTTGGAATGCATTTGGGATGGGAAAACTGACCGTGTGAAGCTGAAAAGGAAAGCTGCTGGGATCCTAAGGTATGAATCTACTGAAATAAGAGGTATGATCACATGTTGAAAGCAGACAATGTAATTTGGAGACAAAGTGGTACAGTGTAAATGGTCAGAGATTACAATTATGTGAAGTAACGCATTGTAAACCGCCCTGAGTCTCCGGAGAAGGGCGGCATATAAATCAAATTAAAAAAAAAAAAAAAAGTAGGACTCAGGAATCTATGGAGATTTTCATTCAGGTTGCCTTTAATAATAATATCCAGCATACAGAACTTCACTTATGGGGCTACTTAGACAATGCTATGATATTAAAGAGGCACCTGCAACATATCATAATGTTTAGAAACTTGTGCTTGATTTTTACATTTACATCCAACCCCAGTCAAATTATGGTCAACTGAAACAAAGTTATGTCTACTGTAGCATGTTTATTTAGAATAAATTAATTTGCACTAGGATTAACCACAATTTATATAATTGGAAATATCCAATTTTCATATGTCTGCTGGATGAAGAGAGCTAACTATTACCCAGCTTAATTATGGTTTACCATTATATCTAAATATTTTCGAAATCATGATGTCTCTTCAAGTGCTATGATTTTGTAGATTATTGACCATACAGGCTATCAGAAACAATAACAATTTAACCCCAACTAAAAATGGATAGCTGTAGTTTCTTCAGTTCTGGATAAGAGCTACTGCATTTCTAGTGTTAACTACGCGTCAAAGATTTAACCTGATTGTGAGCCCGATTCCATATGAAAAACTGCTACTGTTGTGCTTTTTAATCCTCCTTTTCCTTTTCCTTGGCCTTATCCCAGGAATATTTGCAGTGGCTGGTTGATAATTATTTTCCATTTGGTTTTTATAGAAGATAATTTATGTAGCTCAGAGTTGAATTGTGGAACTCTTGGTGCTCTTTGAGCATGGTTGTCTTTTGCAGAGATTTCATTACCCAACTAGGTAACCTCATCAGAACTAGTGAGTGTGGGGTTTGCTCCCTGTTTGTTCTTACTGGGGCTTCTCAGACCCGAGTAACCAGATGCTATTCCTTTACTAGGAACTGATATCGACCTTCACATTTATATTTAAAAGCTATAAGAGTGGTTTCTCTGGGTTTGGTTCACATCTGGAGCCATGATTAAAATAAGACTTCTGACTATGGACAAGGCTACTGACATTAATCATAATCTTGGTTATGATTTAGACTTGGAGGATACACTATGCTTAACCACTAGAGGCTTCATCATCATGCAAACCAGATTTTTGTGATACACTTGCAATTATTTAATTGTTCCCCATTGATTAATAAGAGAGAACAACAGAAAAGAGTCTTGAATTAGAGTCTAATTTTTAGTTAGGAGGCAAATCTATCTGAGCATTTACCAAGATCATTTTTCCTCTGAGTGGAACAATATTATTTTTTTAAAAAATACTGCCAATATCATCATGTTTTAAACTCTGCACAAAACAGTTTTTATTTTGACCTGGAGCTATTTTATCAAATAATGTAACATTTTCTTTTTTTCTAGTTATAGTTTTTAGGTGGAACATACAAGAAAATATTTGGTTGGACTGCCCTTATATTCAGTTCAAATCTAATAGGAAGTTGTGGCCATTTTCAGGATAATCCATCCTTTTCCTGTCCCTATTATGTGCTGTTCTACTTTCTTTACCAACAGATTCTTAACATTACTGCCCAGTCTTTACTAGGCTGCTTTGGGGATTTTTTTTTTTTAATTTGATTTATATGCCGCCCTTCTCCGGAGACTCAGGGCGGCTTACAGTGCGTTAAGCAATAGCCTTCATACTTTTGTATATTTATACAAAGTCAGCTTATTGCCCCCACAAACTGGGTCCTCATTTAACCTACCTTAGAAAGGATGGAAGGCTGAGTCAACCTTGAGCCTTGGAGAGATTCGAACCAGCAGTAAATTGCAGGCAGCTGTGTTAATAACAGGGTGCTTTAAACCACTGTAGTACCAAGGCTCTTTAATGCTCCCTTAAAAATAATCCCCCTTATACGTCATCTCAGGAGGCAAGCATTTGTCAAAAAGTGAACTTGCTATAATAATACATTATTATGGTTGCCATCCTGAATAACTTAAAAATATTAAACAAACTCATGGAGGATATACCTATCAGTGTCCAGCAGCCACTAAGGCTAGATAGTACTTTAGTTTTGAAGGGGGAAAAGGTGATTTGGGGTGTGAGTGGGTGTGTACAGAACATTTGTAAATGACACCTTAAAGCAGCTGTACTTTTGCTGCCACACAATTCTGGAAAAAGATGTGTTTGATTAAAAGAATTGCTTACAGGTGCCCCTGGCCAATATCCTTCTTCAAATCTGCAGCATTGCACTGTCATAACTATTCCATATGATTTGCACCCAGAATCAGTTTGCTTCCAGGATCATCAACTGCCAAGGAACAGGAATTAGGATAATATGGATGCATCTGTCCTCAACGTGTGGACTGCTCAGAAGCATATGGCTGGTGGTAGTGGGATGCTGGATCTGGGACTTTGGTCCCCTTTGGTTTTGGAACAACTTGTTTTTAAGAGAGAGATTTCTTTCATATACATTTGACATTTCTGTGTAGGCTTTAATGTTCTCATTATTGGCTTGGACCTGTGGGAGAAGCCAAATCTAGGACTTAGGTGTGCAGCTAATGGAAAATGTATCCTTTAGGACAACAGATCACAATAGTAATGATGACAGATAAAAAGACATGTTCACACAGATTCCTTGTGCGAGTTCTTAATTACCATTCCCACAACCTCACTCATTTCAAAGTTGAAGTTTTCTCTCTCTCTCCTGTTTCTCTCTCACTATCTGAAAGGAGACCAAAACTGGTTTTGTCTTTTGTAAATCTGCAACTCTGCAGGCCTTGCAGGTGACTGGCTTCTGTATCATCCAGAATTAGAGGAGGGTAATAATCCAGTTCCTAATGCGAAAAGGTGACATGGATCTGGCTGGCACAGGTGGAACATTCTGGTAAAGGTAAAGGTAAAGGTTCCCCTCGCACATATGTGCTAGTTGTTCCCAACTCTAGGGGACAGTGCTCATCTCCGTTTCAAAGCCAAAGAGCCAGTGCTGTCCGAAGACAGCATGTGGTCGGCATGACTAAAAGCCAAAGGTGCATAGAACGCTGTTACTTTCCCACCAAAAGTGGTGCCTATTTTTCTACATGCTTTCGAACTGTTAGGTTGGCAGAAGCTGGGACAAGAAACGGAAGCTCTAGGCACTAGGGATTTGAGTGCCGCGTACTCAAATCCCTAGTGTACTTGAGTGCCGCGTACTTGGTTGAGTGCCAACCTTTCGATCAACAAGCTTAGCGTCTTAGCCACTGAGCCACCACATCCCTTATAACATTCTGGTAGCTCTTGGCAACTCTTTAAATGAAAATTCCAGTTTGAACTAAGGAGTCCTAAAGGAAGCAACAGGGCAGTCATAAGAGCAACGAGGAATGCTCTTTTTAAATGCAAGAGGAAAACAGCTCTTTCTCAACTCTTCTTCCCTTGCTTATTATAGTGAAGAGTAATACCCAAGGCATGGATTAGCAATGGGGTTCTAGCAATTTATTTTATTTCCCTTTCATGTGGGATGATGGTGACGGAGACTTTTGTCCCTTTGGGATCTGTGGTAGTTCAGAGAATGGATCATTGCTCAGATAAGCGTACCCCCATTGGTTGCAGAAGTGAACTAACTGAGTCCTAATGTTCCTCCCACATTCACAACATTACAAGATCTGCAGAAGCCAGGATGGAGGGATTTGGAGAGGAAACCCCATGTTCAAGGCTACGTTAAAGGGGAGGCCTTCGTGCTTAATTCGTATGCGAGCAATTACGTCTTGAAGCAACCCTGTCCAAATCAAAGGGATACTGGAAGTAAGTTCAACTATTCTTGAGGCGAGAAGTAAACACTGGGTACCAATGCGCGTGGAGCCTAAAATCAATCTGGAAGTGCAGCTGGTAGGGAAGCGCAATCTCCGGCGCTTTGGATTTCGGCATCCAAAGGAGGGCGCTGCAGCTCACAGGTTTTCCGAAGGCGCCTCGGTCCACAGAATCCCACCGGCCGCTGAGCAGAGCAGAGTGGCCCTTCGCCGCTCCGGTCCAGCACAAGCATATTCCGTGGGGAGGTGGCAGAGGAACAGCAGAGGGCGCTGCCGGACAGGTCCAGGCCCGGTGGCGCGGAGCGGCAAGAATGCAGCGCAAGGGAGGGTTGCTGACTGCTGGGCGAGCAAGAGGAGCTGATGCTGCAAAGCCGCCCGCCTTTCCCGGTGGGGACCATGAGGAGCGCTGAGCAAGAAGAAGAGTGGAGAGGCTACGCTTAGCTTCGCCGACCCCGGTTAGCTAGCGCGCTTGACTATGGCTGGGGGAAGGAGAGGGCTGGTGGCTCCACAGAACACCTTCCTGGAGAATATCGTGCGGAGGTCCAACGGTAAGGAGGATGCCAGCGGGGGTGCCAGGGCGCTTCGGCTTGATGTGTGTGTGTGGGGTGGTGGTGGTGGTGGTGGTGGAGCGAGGACCCGTAGAGCGAAACCCGAAGCTGGGGAGGGGGATTCTCCAATGCGGGGCTGCACTCATGGGCTCCTCCGGGCGTTTTGGAGGGGCGAGGCTGGGCCAGGCTGGCTCCGAGCGGGGTGGGGACGCGGCGAGCTTTGGGCTGAAGTGATGCTGCCTTTGGGTGGGAAAGCTTCCCATAGCCAGGCATCGCCTCAAAGTCCTGCAGAAGAAAGTCCCCGAAACGTCTTGGAGGGAGAAACCCGCGAAACGTAGCTGAACCGAGGACGGGAGCGGCTTGCAGGTGCCTTTTGGGCAGGCTTCTTGCTCCGGGTTGGGTTGGAAGCCAAAATCACCCGAATCGGTTTTTGTGCCCCGGAGCAGGCGTTGGGAGGGCTGCGCACAGAGCCTGGTCGCAACGGGCTCTTGGCGCCCCCTTTTTCGTGGGGACCTCTTCCCGTTGCCCGAGCCTTTCCACTTTCCCCAACCCGATTTCTCAAGGGCTTCCCCCTCCCTTAGCACCGAGATTTTGGCGCTATGCAGACCTGGGAAGTCTTTGCAGAGGCTGTGGTGAGATCCTCGGAGAAGAAGAGAAAAGCGAGGAGGGGAGATGTCGAGGTTGGGGAGACCCTCTTCCTTTAAGACTTCATATCTCTTACAGACGGAAACTATCCGGAATGCTCTCCAGAATCATAGCTAAAAGCAATTTCATTAAAAAGTGAAAACAATCTGGTGATGTCCTATTTCTCCCCTCACCTCTTTGATTCAGTATAACCACCGTGGTTTCTTGATTTGCTTTATGGCATTTAAACACTTCTGCAGTGTAAGAGAAGCTTGGAATACTCTTGAAGCTGAATACCAAGAATGTTTGATCTTGATGGACTCAGGTTAATCTCTTACTGGCCTTTCTTCCCTTTTCTATCTGTATTTCCTAAGTATCCATTCTTGTGCATGGTGAGACTTGCAGATTTCAAATGAAATTCTCAGAATCTGGACCATGTTAGAAGTCATATTTATTTGTTCTGGGGGAAAATGTTATTTTAAAGACCTGAAGTTATTCAGACACTTCAGGTGGGCTCCATAAAAAAAAAATTAGATAGCTTTGACCAAAAAAATGATTGATATTGGATTAAGTTAGCATCTAGAGATGTTAAAACTAGGAGATGAAAGATTGGAATGATTTAAAAAAATCTGATTTGGGAATACATTTCCTCCCTCTCATTTATGTATCATAGAGGATGGTCTACAATGCTTCATCTATTGAACCCTAGTTTAAAAATACTGAGGAAATCAATTCCCAGCTTGACTGATACAGTTAGGTGTGGCTTCCTCTCTGCATAGGTCTGCTTTAAAAGGCTGTTAATTAAGATGGATTATCTTCCACTTTCCTACTTCCCTTCCCATTATCAATACTTTATTGCAAATGTACTATAGTGTCTTAAACAGCTTCCGGAACTGGATGGGAAGAGAGGGATAAGGATGCTGTACTGTACTTTTTTTTACTATATAGATTTTTGGGTTTTTTAAAAAAAAGCTTCTTCCAATCCTGAATGATAAACTGTTCAAAATTCTCTTCCCTCAATGTTTAAAGGCACTGTAGCCCTCAGCCTAAACATGAACTAGGATCCTTCCTTCCTGTCTGATTAATTGCTGCTATATGAATGAATTGGGGTTCTTGGCTCAGGTATTGATGAAACAGAGTGAGGGCTGGGCTCTAAGTAGGAAGGCAGGCTCCTTCTGAATTTGCTGAAAAATATTTAACAGTGGGGGTAATCAAGCAGATGTACTACTTTAATAATTTCCAGAACTGCTTTGCCATGATTTTTTTTAAAAGTTACTTTGTGGAAGAAATAGACTTGGTTTTTCTGCCTGCAAACCATAAGCAATAATGTTAGCAATTCCTTCCATGTTCTTTTAAAATTCACAGTATTATCCACAATTATCTTCCCAAGTGAAAGTTTTCATATGATGGCAGAGGGAAAATATAATTAGTCATCAACCCAACAATGGCAAGTAGGTTCTATTTCCTCAGTTTATTTCATTGTTGTTAGATGGATATGCCATTTAGCTAGTGCCAACTATTTTAAAAGAAACAACCTAGTGGCTGTCTTTGGTGTTTGAATAATATTGTCATTAAAATGCTATTTTGAAGAGAGCTCTTAGTAGAAATTGGCATGGCTATTCTTCTAATTTTCTTTTCCAATAAAAAGCTGGCTGGAAAGCTATTGCCCTTAATCAATTTCTTCAGTGGCTGCAACAAAGTTCTTGAGTGGATTCCGGAGTTCTTTAATCCAGAAGGCTTTATTCCATTTATTTTTTTTCTCCCGGCAGTCTGATATACTAATTTCTGCACATGTTCAATCTCTCTCCACCCCAGTTTAGGATTTATTCATTGTAGCTGCTCTGTAGTTCTGAAAATAGTTGTATTCTCCCAAGCCAACTGATAACTATTTCTTCCTTATGTTTGGGTTGTACCCTTTTAAGTGCCCAAAGATCCACACATTGAAAATGATCTCCCAATTAATGTATAAGATCACCAGGAGTCATTAACGGACAGCCTGTTTTCAATATTCTCACATTTCCATCACTTAAGGAGTGCCATCATTGGCCCTCCTTTAGAATCTTTAATACAAAGCCCCTTGCATTAAAATGATCTTTTATTAGGTGATCAGCTAAGTTTTGAAATTTTAACTGAGCTAATTAACTGTCATGAATATTGTTATTGTGCATTTAATATTTGTGATATGTGTGAAAGCAAAGCATATGCTTTTCTTGATGTAGGGGATTGGGCCAGTGGAAAAAGGATAGATGAGAATGAGGACTTGGATGCGAGAGCATTTGTATAACATCCAACATATGGGCTAGGGAGAGTCTTCATCTTGTAACCCATTATATAAATATTCCATATCCTTGATTTTAGATTTCTTTTATGGCATCCTCTGGTCATTAATTTCTAGGCTGTAGCTGTAGGTCCTTCTAAACAAAGAGTGGGAGCTATAATGGCAGTCGGCTAGGCTAGACAGCAATTTCTCTGAAATATTTTAATTTGGATTTCTGCACTGAATAGGACTTTTTCCAGTAGGACAAGAGGCAAGGAAGTGGGGTTGAAATGCTGGAAGTTGTTCAATTGATGGTGAAACTGTCTTTACTTGGAAATAGGGAATATTGTGGTTCCTCTGAGGCAAAATAATGGCAATGTTCACCTGACACCTGATTAGCATAAGATGAAGGAAAGCAAACAACCCTCCTATTTTTTCCACTTCAAAAGCTTTTTTAGAAAGCCCGATAAAAATCTCTAGTTCAGGGGGCACCATTCACAGGCAATTCATGAGCATTAGACAACTTCCAGATTCCCAAAACTCTTCGTAATAATTTGATCTCTGGAAAGAACATTCTGCCTTTCCCACTGTTTATATGGGAAGGAAAGACAGTGTGAAGGAGGAAGGAGATTGTGGGAAGAGAGAATAAGGGGACGGTCCCACCCAGTACTGGCTCTGACTTTGGCTTCTGTTCATTTTTGCTCACTGTCCCAAAGGTCCCTTCAAAAGGCAATTGGACTTTCTTGTTTTTCCTTGAAGACATTTAGCTTCTCATCCAAGAAGCTTCTTAAGTCAGAACTAAAGAAGCTTCTTGGATGAAAAGCAAGACATCTTTAAGGAAAAACAAGAAAGTCCAGTTGCCTTTTGAAAAAGCACTTTTGGGGCAAACATGACCTGAATGACTGAGAATCTCCATAGACCTTTTTGCCCACTGGTTACTGTTGGCATGTGACTTGACTTCCATCAGATTACTCCAGTAAGAATGCAACTTTGAACGAGATAATTTTGTTCATTCCCAGAGTGTAAGTGTAAAAGCTGGCACATAAAGGGAAAAAAATGTCCTTTCCTAATGCCTGCATTAATTAGGGTGGGACATGTTTTTCTAACAAATGGAAAAACAAGAGGAACCACCAGCTAGGGTCCCATCCAATGGCAGTGAAGCTGGAGTCACTGATTGGTGGAGTCAGATCCAATGAGAGTAGAAAGTGATGAAACTGGGTGGAGTTTGCAGCATTGCAGGACTGCATAGTTCTCTCCTCCCACCCTAGGCATAGATCTTAAAATGTAAAAATGTAAACCTAAGAAAAGACAAATTTGTGGATTCTTTTGTATTTCAGCTAAGTCTCTAGGAGCTGATTGGTATCATAAAAATCTCCCTCACAGGCTTTGATTTTTGACTCCTTGTCTCAAAAACCTTAATTCCAGATTTACTACATTTTTGTGCAGAAATGTTAATATGCCAAGGGACTGTAGGCAATCTTTTGCCTGAGTGCTTGAGTGCTTGTACTAATATTAAAAAGCCTATGAATCAGCTTAAAGAATAAAGCAGCATTTGGGCTGGGAGGGTGTTTGTTCCCAGGGAATAAAAAACTAGACCAAAAGAAGTGAGAGCTTGTACAAATGGCCACAAGACAGCCACCTGGTAGATACGGAAATTAGCTTGATTCTGAAAAAAAAAAAAAATCCAACGAATTGCTAAATCCCAGGTAAATGCACTTGGCCTATCATTATTTTGAGATTAAAATGCATCCATCCTTCTGAAATACTGTTGCTATTATTTTGCACTGATACCATAAGGTTCTACTTGTACTGTGGAACTTTCTACACAGTGGGGAAAATTTAAATCAGTGGGTTGAGAATTAAGAGCAGCTTTTATTCTGCTGAAGTTCTGAGACATTTTTAGACAAAGAAATGAAATCATCTTGAAAAGGGCCTCCTAAAATATGCACTTCTGTTGGCTGATTAAACTGTTAAGTTTATGGGCCACTTGCTTCAATATTTCAAAGAGATTTGAAGGTGTGTAGGTTTGTTTAAGTGGTATTGATTAATATATTATATTGGCTGATATTCCCAAGATACTACCCAAAGAAGCTATAGTGCCAAGATGCCTTCCCATCTG